CCTCTGAGAGAAAGGTGCCCTCGATTTTCGCCTGCTGCCAAACAGTCTATGCTCTCCCCCAATGAGCCCGGTATTGGGGTTCAGTTCACTTGGAAGTGGAGTTGGAGGTGGTGTTCAGAGCAGTTTGGTGCCCCTGTCTCCTTCCCATCAGGGCAATCCAGCGGCACAGCCAACCGTCCCTTCTCTGCGCACAATGTGCGCGCCGCCGGGACCCCCTTTGGCTGCTTCCCTGGGTTCTGCCTCGCAGCCCAGCTGTCTCTGTGTGAGCCTGGGTCCCCGGGGTCTGGCCTAGGCCTGGGGTTCAGAGCAGTGAGAATGGGGCCCAGCACAGTCGGAGTTTTATCTCCTTCCCGTTAGGGAACGCCCGCCAGGCACTCGGCCTCCCTCCTCTCTGGCTCCGTCCTCTCCACGCGCAGCGCCCCGCGTCTCCGTACTTTGGGCTTTTCCAGCTCTTCCGCGCTTCCTTCTGGTTTTCTCCTTGCTTCTTGTAGAATTTCCAGTCGTCTTTCCTGTAGTTCTGGGTAATGTCCATTTTATATTTTAGTTGTATTTTATTGAAATTGCTGTGTGCAGCTGCGAGTAGGTGTTTACCTGGGCGTAGCCATCTTGGATCCTCGAGAGAGAATCATTGTTTAGTTGCCTCCTGCATGCCCCCTCTGGGAATTGACTCCTCCCCCCTCCCCCCCCCCCCCGAACCAGGTTCATATACACTGGTTCATATACACTGAGTGGCCAGATTATTATGCCCACCCCATCAGTACTTCATTGGGCCACCTTTTGCCTTCAATACTGTGGTGATTCTTCTTGGCATTGACTCCATGAGATGTTGAAAAGTGATGCAGGGAATCTGACGCCATGCCTGATGAATAGCACTGTCCAGTCTGTGAGATTTTATGGTTGTGGAACCTGCTGCCTGATGGCTCTTGTAACTTTGTCCCACAAATGCTCAATTGGATTGAGATCTGGTGATTGTGGGGGCCACCTAAGCAAGGTAAAGTCTCCCTTGTGTTCTTGAAATCATCCTGCACAGTATGAGCACAGTGGCATGGCGCATTGTCTTGTTGGAAGAAGCCATTTCCATTGGGATACACCATCAACATGATAGGGTGAACTTGATCAGCAATGGTACTTAGCTATGTTATGCTATTCCGACATTGTTCCACACGAATTAAAGGGCCCAAATCATGCCAGGAAAACATGCCGCAAACCATAACACTGTGTCTATCAGCTTGAAGAATTGTACTCATGCATGTGGATTGCACGCTTTCATGCTTTTTCTGTGAAATTCTCACTCTGCCATTTGCATGATGCAACTGAAAATGTGATTCATCGGACCACATGACTTTTTTCCAATGCTCAACTGTCCAATCCTTGTGTTCCTGTGCGAATTGGAGATATTTTATCTTGGTGACTGCAGACAACAAAGGTGTTCGAACAGCCCTTCAGCTTCCATATCCCATATAATGCAGTGTACGGCTAATTTGCCTACAATGTCAGGTGATCATAATAATCTGGCCACTCCTTGTATTTTAATTATGATGTGTCTGGGTATGGTCCTATTTGATTCTTCTTCAGGGGTTCTCTGTGCCTCCAGAACTTATGTGACTTTTTCCTTTATCAGGTTAGGGAAGTTTTCTGCCATTATTTCTTCTCTATTCCTTTCTGCCCCTTCTGGCACACCTGCTATTCTAATGTCGTTATGTTCTTATTGTTCTACACGTTCCCTAAGCCGTCCTCTTATTTTTTTATTGTTTCTTTTTGATTCTTTGATTTTTTTTGCAAGAAAAATGATTTTAAACATGATAATGTTACATGCAGTAAACACCAGTTATTCAAGAAAAATTACTTCATATATAATATTACATGCAATAAACATCATTATTTCAAGAATAAAAGGATTCTAGTAAAATATTACCAAAACTGTACTAACATAAAATTATATCAGAAAAGTTGTAGGAAATATTACAAATCTGCAAATAATAGGATTACTTCTATAATGTTCTAGAATATTTCTCCCCTCTGGCTCTATTTTTGTTCATCATTTTATGTTGTTCATTATATTCCACAAATCTTTTCTCTGACTTGCTTATTTTGCTTAGCATGATGTTTTTAGTCTATTTTGTTGGATATGAGTATTGCTACTCCATGTTTTTTCTCTTTTCCATTTGTATGGAAAAATTTTTTCCATCCCTTCACTTTCATCCATTGTGTGTCTTTTGTTCTGAGGTGGGTCTCTTGTAGACAGCATATGGGTCATGTTCAGCTACCCTTCACCTCTTGATTGGAGCCTTTAATCCATTTACATTTAGGGTTACTATTGGGAGGTGCTTATTTATAGCCATTTTAGCTCTATATGGCTAGGTTTCTCTGTTTCTTCTTCTCAGCAATCCCTTATAGCAATCCCTTTAGCATTTCATGTACTGTAGGCTTGGTGGTAATGAACTCCTTTAGCCTTTTTTTGTCTGGGAAGCTCTTTATTTGACCATCTATTTTGAATGATGGATATAGTAATCTTGGTCTCATACCCTTGCTTTTCATTACCTTGAATACTTCATGTCATTCTCTTCTAGCCTGTAGAGTTTCTGATGAGGAATCAGGTGTCAGCCTTATGGGAGCTTCTTTGTAGTTTGTTTTTCTCTTTGTTGCGCTTAAGAGAAAAGTCTATAATTTTTGGCATTTTAATTGTGATGTGTCTGGATGTGGATCTGTTTGGGTTGTTCTTGCTTGGGGTTCTCTGTGTCTCCCGAACTTGTGTGACTTTTTCCTTTACCAGGTTAGGGAAGTTTTCTACCATTATTTCTTCAAACACCTTCTCTATACCTTTCTCCCTTTCAGCCTCTTCTGGCACAACTGCTATTCTAATATTGTTATGTTTCACATTGTCCCACAGCTCCCTTAAGCTGTCCTCCTGTTTTTTATTTTTTATTTTTATTTTTGGTTCTCTGATTGAGTGATATTTTCAATTCTGTCTTCTAATTCACTGATTCTGTCCTCAGCTTACCCTAATCTGTTATGTATTCATTCTTTCGGATGTGTTCTTTATTTGTGTTATGTCATTCTTTATCTCAGACTGTTCTTTTTTTCATAGTTATTATATCTTTTTTCATGTTGTTGAGCATCTTTACCATCATTACTCTGAACTTTGCTTCAGATAAATTACTTATCTGTACTTCATTTATCTCTTCTTCTGGGGAATGTTCTTGTCCTTTCATTTGGGGGTTGTTTCTTTGTCTCCTCATTTTGGTTGCCTGTTTAGGTTTGTGACTGCTTTGTATTAGGTAGATCCTCTATGCCTCTCAAACTCTAGTGCAGGACAGTGTCAAATGCTGCTCCTGGCTAATTAGATCAGGCAAAGACTCAAAGTCTTTAGAGACCACCTCTGTCCACAGACTGATAGGATTCCAACTTGAAATTGCGCTCAGGCAATCATCCTCAGATGTTGTGAGAGTTTTTTGTTTTGTTTTTTAACTGGACGGGGCACTTGCTTCTGCCTGGATGCTATTATTATTTTTAGTCTTTTTAAGTGGCCTCAGAGCAAGGTGTTTTCTAATAGGGTGTGTCAACTGTCTTACCCCCAGGCAAGGCAGGTTGTCTGTGTGGGTTAGATGTTCTCCCCTGGGTGAGGGAATGACTCAGCATAGGAAACTTTTTTTTTTTTTTTTTTTTGCCTTATGAGTTCTAACCTCCCAGTCCCCAATCCTGGCTTCTGCACATATAGCTCCAGTCCACTCCACTCTCCCTATGTTGGAGCACAAGGTAGATGGCTCCACAGGGAATTTTGTACATTGGTCCTTTAAGAGGGTGCCTGAATTTCCAGCCGTCACTCCCTGGCAGACTGCAGCCCTCTGCTTTTCACAGCCAGATGTTATGTGGGTGCCCTTCTCAGTTGTAGTGCTCTCTGCTGGGGGGCCCAGCTTGGGGATTAGATCCCAGAATTCTCAGTAGCTCCTCCCCACAGCTGAGATATCTCTCTGGGTCTTCAGTTGGCAGCTGTGGGTGCTAACGCAGCCAGCCCTTTCTTGCCTCTGCCTCTCCTACCAGTATCTATGCTGTCTCTGCTTTTGGTTCTCTCCTGCCAGTTTTCCATTGACTATTTAGGAAATTTTTCTGTATTTTAGTTGTGATTATAGTTTGTTTCTGGGAGCATGTCCGTGCAGCCACTTTACTCTGCCCCCATTTTTTTTAAAAAATATATTTTATTGATATTTCACAGAGAGGAGGAAGGGAGAGAGATAGAGAGCTAGAAACGTCGATGAGAGAGATACATCGACCAGCTGCCTCTTGCACACCCCCTACTGGGGATGTGCCCGCAATCAATGTACATGCCCCTAACCGGAATCGAACCCAGGACCTTTCAGTCTGCAGACCGTCGCTCTACCACTGAGCCACACCGGCTTCGGCTCTGCCCCCATTTTTAATCTCCTGGTTCATATATGTGACTCTCAACTGAGCCACACAGGCTAGGTGGGTGGGTATTTTTCTTCTACTTGAAATGTTTAGTTGTCTCACTTATTATTTAGTCTTTTCTATGTACCAAGTAACTTTGTTCAAAATGCAGTTTTATTTATGATGAAAAAACATTTAAAAATTTTAATTTGATAACTTTAAAGAAATTGATTTTCCATTGAAATTTAAGATAATGTAGATGTCTGTGTAGCTGTTAGAAATAATATAGGAAGATCCCTGGTTGACTTTGCCTCATTTCCCCTGGGGCTATATTTTGCAAAAGTAGTCACTGTCACAAGCAGGGTATTGGCATTGATACAATGTACCAATCTCATTCATATCTCCTGTTTCACTTGAACTCACTTTGTGTGTGAAGAGTCAGATTTTATTCTTCGAAAACTACTGAACTACTTTAATTAGATCTGTGACCTCTGAAAACCACTTAACCTCTTGTGCCTCAGATTTCTCACTAGGTAAGTCTGTTGGTTTGATTGGATGATCTTTAGAATCTTTTTTGGGTCAAAACATTCTATAATTTTTCTCTTTATGTTTAGGAAGAAAAGGCTTCTCTTTTACATCGTACTCAGGAAGAAAGAAGAAAGAGAGAGGTAAAAACAGTTTTTTAATAGTCTATAAATAAGCATTTTTAAATTCTGGGCTTTATGGTTTTATATATAGATATGCATTTGTTCAGTGTGATGAAATATATGTATATTTACGTATATATATTGAGCTTTAAAAACATTTCTGGATTTGTTGGAGTTTAGTAAAGCATTTATTCTGATACCAATGTGGAAAACAAGGACAAAAGGGCAGTCTGTGGGTTAGGCGACATTCCTGAAAGGCAGGAAGCAGTGCCACATTGGAGACGGAGTACCCAGTTTAGTGTCAGCCTGAGTTTGACTCCTGACACTCAGTTTTTAAAACAAGAGAAATTTTCACCTGGAAGGTTATTGTACAAAGTGCATGTGAAGGGCCTTCCTTAGGGCTGGCACACAGCAGGCTGTCCAAACTGGTGCCTGCAATGTATTAATGATGATGAAGAATACGTTATTTTGCTAGGTTACTGAAGACAGTCTTAAGTCAATAAAAATTGGAGTTTTCTGCTTTGAAACAAGGATGTGACCCTTAAAATAGGTGTTTGTATTGTCTGTATTCTTTTAATATTTAAAACAAAAACCTAAAAAAAGTCTCACTATTCTGGTGTGATTGTAAAGTAGTGTAGCCATTTTGCAAAACAGTCTGAAGTTCCTTGGGTATTAATTTCACTCCTGTATTCACCCAATAAAAACGAAAACCATTTGTCCACGCAAAAACTTGTTCATGAATGACCAAAGTGGAAGCACACATGTCCCATTGGCTAATAAACTCAATGTGAGGCAGCCATACAATGGCTATTGATCAGCCATAAAAAAGACTGATATGTGATACAATGTGTGTGAGCCTTAAAAACCGTAGTACCAGCCCTAGCTGGTTTGGCTCAGTGGATAGAGTGTCATCCCATTTACTAAAGCGTCCCAGGTTCGGTTCCCATCAAAGGCACATACCTGGATTGCAGGCTCTGTTTCTCAGCCCTGGTTGGAAAGTATGTGGGAGGCATAGAATCCATGTGTCTCTCTTCAATGGATGTTTCTCTGTCTCTTCCATGCTTCCTCTAAAAAAAAAAACAAAAAACAATAAAAATTATTTTCAAACAAACAAAAACACTTCATGCCAAGTGAAAAAGCCAGAGCCCAAGCAGTGTGGCTCAGTTGGTTAAGTATTGCCTTGGGCACCAGTTCGAATCTTGGTCAGGGCACGTGTCCAGGTTACAGTTCAGTCCCCTGTAGGGGGTGTGCAGGAGGCACCGATGAATGATTCTCATTGATTCTCTCTCTCTCCCTCTTCCTTTCTCTCTCTGAAATCAATAAAAACATATATTTTTAAAAGCCACATATTCTGTGATTCCAATATAGGAAGTAGCCAGAGCAGGTAATTTCATACAGGCAAAAATTCAAGTGGTTGCCACAGGCATGGCAATAGGGGAAGCAGGGGAGGGAATGGGGGTAACTGCTAATGGGTACATGGCTTTTTGGGAGCAGGTGTTGAAAGTGTTCTAAAATTAGATAGATGGTTGCACAAATTTGAAAATATTAAAAATTGGTGATAGTACAGTTTAAAAAGTGAATTTTGTGGTATGTAAGTTATATAACTGTAATTTTTAAGGCTTTACTAACTAAATGTTATTTTCACTGACTCTGACTGCTTGTTCCCACCTTCCTCCTTTATTCAGGAAGAAAGGCGAAGATTGAAAAATGCAATAGTTATTCAGTCATTTATTCGAGGCTATCGAGACAGAAAACAGCAAGTAAGTGTTTATAAACTGAGAACGGTCAGAAGGCACGGGAGTGCTTATCTATACTAATAAAAGTGTAATGTGCACATCGACTGCACAGCCAAACAGAAAAATGACCATTCGATGACACACTGACACACACTGGTGCCAGGCCAGCCAAAGCGGGTGTGATGCCATTGGTAGGGGGACCCTGCCATCCATTGCCCCACGATCATCTCACAGTGGGAGGCCCAGGTCAGTGGGGTAACCAGGTGGGTGGGGCCTTCCTCTGCTGGGCCATTGATGGCGGAGCCCCACAATCCATTGTCCCAAAGAGGGAGGCCCAGGCTATCTGGCAGGTGGTGCTGCAGTGGGTGGGCAAGGCCTCCCTCTACAGGTGAGTGATCTGCCCCACCATTGACCCATGATCATCTCGCAGAGGGAGGCTACCCGTGGCAGGAGGTGGGGGGGTGGGGCCAGCTGCCACCAGCCAGGGGAAGGAAAGCCCCAATAGGCTCTGATTGCTGGGTCCCGGATTGCAAGAGGGCACAGGCTGGGCTGAGAGACACCTCCCCTATCTCCCCTGCCCCCTTCCTCCCCCGCACAAATTTCACACACCAGGCCTCTTATTTTAAATAATGATCTTGGATTCCTAGATGTGAAATCTGTATGCCTGTATTTCTGTATGCCTGTGTTGAAAGTTAATGTTGATAATAGTATTTCCCTTAGTAACTAGTTTATTAGTTTAGATTTACGTAAAGATCTATAGGTAAGTGAGTTTTTTTTTGAATAGTAAAATATAAACATGCCAAACCACAGGTGAAGATCTAAAGAGGAGGAAATGGTGGAAGACTGTCTTCTATTCCATCCCAAGTGTTTGAGTTTTTTTGTTTGTTTGTTTTTTTAAAAATATATTTTATTAATTTTGTACAAAGAGGAAGGGAGAGAGATAGAGAGTTAGAAACATCGATGAGAGAGACTCATCGATCAGCTGCCTCTTGCACACCCCCTACTGGGGATGTGCCCGCAACCAAGGTACATGCCCTTGACCAGAATCGAACCCGGGTCCCTTCAGTCCCCAAGCTGACGCTCTATCCTTTGAGCCAAACCGGTCTCGGCACTTTTTTTTCCCGACGCTTAAAGAGAAAGCCTTGCCAAAGCAAGGCCGCCAAAAATTTTCAACTGCCTCCCAAAAAAAAACTGGGAGAGAGAGAGAACCAAGTGTTTGAGTTTTATTTCACCTGATACCCATAACTCCACGGCAACAGCACGGTCATTGCCTGTTTCCCCCGCCTGTGTGCTGACTGTGCGCTGTTCTGTTTCAGTACGCCATTCAAAGAACTGCTTTTGACCGCTGTGCTAACTCACCCCAGGCTGGGGGCACGCTTTCCATTGCCAATGGTCCCAACCTGACGGTTTTGGTGAGGCAGCTTCTGTTTTTTTACAAACAGAATGAAGACTCAAAACGTTTGGTGAGTGTTAACTGTGTTTCCACTAATCTGGTTTTATATAATCTCCAGTTTTCTAAAACGTCAGATAACCCTCCACTGTCTCATCTTCATGAACTTTTCCTCAATGGGAATAGGTTGCCTTTGTGGTGGTGTTTTACCTCTTAAAGATTGATGTAAATTTTCAATATGGAAAATAGTGTGTGGAGCCATCCACCACATACTCATGACAGTCATTGACACCTGGTTTCACACAGAACCCTCCACACCTGTGCCTTTGATCACTGTGAAGGGAATTGTGAATATCATAGCCTGTTATCTGTAAGTTCTTTAGTCTGAATCCCAGATTATAGGGTCTCTCTCTTAAACATCCAAAATGTAATTGGATAGCTGGACCACCCTGCCGTTCTCAGTGATGAGGTGCAGGATGAGTTGATGGTGGGAGTATATAGGGATTCACAGTGAACCGTCGGTGCAGAGGACAAAGGCATACCGTCCTGCTTGGCCAGCACTGCTTCCTGAGCGAGCTGTGGGAAGAACAGGCCATAAACTAGAGCCGGGCTAAGGGGCAGTGCCAGTGACTCCCCCTCTCCCCTGCTCTGGACTTCCTGTGTGCCAGCCCTTCCAGACGTCTCTGAAGTTTATAGGAAGCAGCATCAGGAAAGTACCACAGCAGGTTATCCTGGTTCCCTGTACTCTGGTCTTGTAGAGGGAAGATCTCTACAAGCTGGCAGGCGGTGCCAGGGGCTGTCAGCCAGTTGTCTCCAAGCACCCTTCCCTTAGGAATTACTCCTGCCACCTCCAGGTACAAAGTCTGGTTGCTCTCCTGGGGGTTCCCCAGGTGAAGCAGGCACAACCGGATAGCTGGGCGGGAGACGTGCATGCTGACTCCAGGCCTTCAGCAAATATGAGGTCAAGCCTCCTGTGCAGTCTGAATCTCAGTAGAATTAAATGCCGTCAAACCTGGTTAATGTGACAAGATGAACTCGATATTCAGTTTGCACACAAAAATATAAGCACAGTAAATCAGTCACACGTGGCAAAGTCTCCTGGCCAATCTTCAGATTTCCTGACTTCCACTGGAGAAGCGTGATGCCACTTCCAGTGCGTGTCTTGGGCACTCTGTGCAGGACTAAGCATGTGGCTCCCCATCCTCACCTTCTCCCTTTGTTCATTTCAGTGACTTGCCTGTGATCTCTGTTACAAATACACTGAGTGACCAGATTATGATGATCTCTGAACATATAATAATCTGGCCACTCAGTGTCTATCCTATATAATAGAAGGCTAATATTCAAATTGTTCCCTGGACCAGGAGTTCGACCAGCAGGCAGGCCAGCCAACTGCCCATGTTCCCTCCTAGCCAGGCTGGCCAGATCCTGTGCATGCAAGAATTTATGCACAAAGCCTCTAAAATGTGTGTGTGTGTGTGTGTGTGTGTGTGTGTATACACACACACTCTGAGTGTATATATTATGTTTTCTGAACACAAAATAATCTGGCCATAGTAAAGTAGAAGCAATTTCTCGTTAGGTATTGAGTTTTCAGAATCATTTGTGGCAGCTGCATCTATACAACAGGATGCAAGTCAGAGATCTATCTGATACTTGCTGAGTGCACTGAGATGATGCTGGGATCCTGACTTTTCCTCCAGCTGCATTGAAGTACAAATGACAAACAAAAGTGTGGGATCTTTAAAGTGCACACCGTGATGATTCTGCATACATAAACACTGTTCCTGCCACCTAGTTGAGGAACAACGTATCCATCACCTCAGAGTCACACACCTGAGCACCTGCTGGGAGCAGTGGGCCTGAGTGCCTTTCCTGCCAGCTGCATGGCGCACCAGCAGGAGAGGGTGCTAGGGCACGGAAAGGGCAGTAGAAACGTACCTGTATGACTAGTCTCGTCATTGGGTTCTCCTCTATTTTTATTATGGATTGCTCATTTTTCAAGTGAACTGTTTCTATTTCAGATTTACGTGAGTTTTAAGTGTTCTTTGTTTTAGTAATAGATGTAGTAGTTTAGCTTACTGCCGGAGTGCCACAATTGACAGCGTGTGTGTACTACTCAATAAAACCTGACCCGGAGGAGTCACTTCTCACCATGCCTGATCAATGAGTGTTGGTTACATGTCTGTTTACCAGCAGAGGGGACCTGAAATATTGGTGTTTTGTAACAACTAGCTCTGTGGGTTGAGATTTATAATCTCTGTGTTTTGCTGTTCCAGATATGGATGTGCCAGAACCTAATTAAGCACAGCTCTCTGTTTGTCCAGCAGTTGGATGGATCCGACAGACTTACATGCTTATTTCAGATAAAGAGGTTGATGAGCCTCTGTTGCAGGTAAATCTCATCATCGTCAGCAGCGTGTGTAAATGTACTGATCACTTTGAATGTCTGGATGGATACCTGCAACAATGGTTTTGTCGTTTGTCTTTGATACTACAGAGTGTTCTGTCTCTCATAATGTTTAATCCTGGTGAACGTGGCCTGTGGACATTAAAATGTCTGTCTCAGTACCATCCAGGGGATATTTTTTTCATGTGTGCCCTGGGATAACTGTGTGGCCCAGCCGAGGCCTGGTGTCGGAAACAGCTAGAGCACTGCTGCTCTGAGCCCATATATTGTTCTGAATTCTGTCAACTACACCAACTGTAGGGGCAGGTTCCTTCTCGAACCTGCCCATTGCATTAGCTGTCTGGCCTGAGCCCCTCTGGCAGGGACTGGACCTCTTGGATGCCAGATTGAGAAGCCATGAGAAGTTGTGGTTATGTTTAAGAAAGCCTTTTTTTTTTTTTTTTTTTTTTTTTTTTTTAAATATATTTTATTGATTTTGTACAGAGAGGAAGGGAGAGAGATAGTTAGAAACATCGACGAGAGAGAGTCATCGATCAGCTGCCTCTTGCACACCCCCTACTGGGGATATGCCCGCAACCAACGTACATGCCCTTGACCGGAATCGAACCCGGGACCTTTCAGTTCCCAAGCCGACGCTCTATCCATTGAGCCAAACCGGTTTCAGCAAGAAAGCCTTTATTACAGAAGCCAGTGGCCATGTAGCCATCATACAAAACAGTATCCCACACAGGTGGCCACAACCTGCTGGTGAACAAATGCATCTTCCCCACAGAGGCAGCATGTTTAGCTGCTATCTGACCTTAGACTCATTGCCTCGCATCAGAGTGGCACCTGAGCTCTCTGGCCTCAGTAGCCTCTCCTGCAAATTGACCATCATTCCAACACACAAGATGGTCACCGCCATGTGGTCAAAGTAGACTGCCCCATGTGGACACAAGATGGCCAGCAGGGGAGGACAGTTGGGGGATACCCAGGCCTGCAGGGAAGGGAAGTTAGGGGCAAACAGGCTGGCAGTGGAGCAGTTAGGTGTCAGTCAGGCTGGCAGGGGAGTGGTTAGGGGGTGATCAGGTAGGCAGACAGTTGGGAGGCAGCAGTCCTGGATTGTGAAAGGGATGTCCAATTGCCCGTTTAGGCCCAATACCGGTGGGCAGTTGGACATCCCTTGAGGGGTCCCAGATTGGAGAGTGCAGGCTGCGCTGAGGGACACACACACACACACACACACACACACACACACACCGTGCACAAATTTTGTGCACTGGGCCTCTAGTTTAACAATAAACAGCACCTAGCTACGACTAGCCTCCTTGCAGTTTCTTCATCTCTGAAGCACAACTTGCTTTATAGCCAGACTTTAACCAAATGTCTGTGAAGCATTTTCCCATGTCTCATCTCATTTGATCCTCACAGAAGTACTGGAGTAGGTAGATAGGAGACTCGGTGGAATCCTGTTTTCTTTTAATTAGCTGAAAAATTAAGATTTAGAACATTCAGAAACATGAGCCAACTGAAAGGAAGAAATGATGGACCTTGAATATTCAGATTTTCTCATATAGTCAAACACTGAATATAGTCAAACACTGCTGCAATTAAATATTTTAGTCTTTGTTCTCCCTGTGTGATCTATAATAATAATCTGCTTCATGTTGATATTTACTGTGTCGCTAACAATTATCTGAAAAAGAAGTTGGGGTACTTCACTGGGCTGGAAAAGTTTAAATCAGAAAGCAGGTCTAATTAAGCAAGTTTATTCTATATCTATAAAAAGCTAAGTTGACTCATTCATGCACCATACATATAAAGCTCTCACTGGCACCAGTTACACACGTGTTTCGATCTATTATTGTCAATTGTGAATTTGGTTGATAATTTTATAGAGGAAGGATGAATAGCGATATTAAAATATTTCTTCTAATTAATTTCCTTTCAATGTGCAGGAATCCATGCACCAGGCCACTAGTACTTTAATATCGTACTAAGACAAAAGAGGCCTCATTCTAGTAGTTACATCAGTCATTTGGATAACAGAAGTGCACAATGTACTGTGAGATCGCTGTGGCCTTGTGCCTGCATGTGGTATCTTAGACTTGAACATTCTCCTTCAGTTCCCCTTGTTCTGAGTGGCCTTGGCCATTCACCGTACTATAACAAGGCCTTAAAGTATCTGGCATCTGGCGTTGTTCCCACACCTGGTTACTAGGGGATGGATTAGCCAATAGTGAAGCCTCTTGCGGTTAGAACAGTTCTGCTCTCCCAGGCCCTCTGCCTTTGAAGCCAACCTTTCACCAGGCTCCTGTGTGACTTATGAATGAACCTGAAGTATGCTGCTTCTATGACTTGCTTGGATTCAGTCTACAAAATCACATGCTTAAGTGATGTGAACTGTTAGTACGTAATTGAAAGAGTAAGTTAGTATTTTCACCATCTTTATACAATTGCTGTGTCTGTGCAGTAGCAGAAGTTTTAAATGATTCTGAGCCTGGATACAATTTCATTTAATTTTTTAGAGGCTGCATTAGAAAAGCTTGTTTAGGCCAAAACTGGTTTGGCTCAGTGGATAGAGAATTGGCCTGCGGACTCAAAGGTCCCAGGTTCGATTCCGGTCAAGGGCATGTACCTTGGTGCAGGCATATCCCCAGTAGGGGGTGTGCAAGAGGCAGCTGATTGATGATTCTCTCTCATTGATGTTTCTAACTCTCTATCCCTCTCTCTTCCTTTCTGTAAAAAATAAATAAAATATATTTTTTTAAAAAGAAAAAGAAAAGCTTGTTTAGGGTACCTCTCAGAACTAGGCCTTATTAACATACTTTCCCAAAATATTTAGCTGAGGATGTGAGGGCTGCCTCATCTGTCACCCCATTGACTGCCAGGGTTAATTTGGCTGATCTGGCTGGCTAGGTGAGTGTCCCCCTCCTCCCTCACGATCCATGTGCGTCCCTCCCGAGGCTGCGCGCTTGGTCGAAGAGGACGACTTTCCCCCAAGAGGAGAGGACCGGTCTTTGGTCAAGGGTATATGAGTAGCTGCGCTCCCCTGCTAGAACCTCCAAACATGCTCTCAAGGTCCAAAATATTTGGCTGATGCAAAAAGTAGAGAACCTGATAGAGCCCAGAGGACTACAAATCCCCAAAATTTCCTTTTTTCCCCCTAATGCCTTGTAGTTTTTAAAAAACTTTTACTTTTAAAAATACATTATATGCACCATACTCTATAGAGCAGCGATTTTCAGCTGTTGTGCCACAAGAAGTTTGAAAATATGCCATACCTGACTGAACCCACAGGCTAACATCCAGCCACTGAGGCAAACCAGCCAGGGCCTAACATGCTTTTGAAAGATACTCATTTAGCAAGTAATTTTAATAGATGATGTATCAAAATATAACTTCTCCTTTTTCCCCAACTTTTTGTTTTGAAAAATTTCTAACACCACAGTAGTTGAAAGAATCTTATATAAATTTACCAAACGGTGGGATGACCACTTGCTATGATGTGCACTGACCACCAGGTGGCAGACGCTTAACACAGGAGCTGTTCCCTGGTGGTCAGTACACTCCCACAGGGGAGTGCTGCACAGCTAGAAGCCAGGCTCACAGTTGGCAAGTGCAGCAGCAATAACGGGAAGCTCTCCCACTTCTGCAATGATGCTAAGGACCCCTTGGGGGTCTTGGATTGGGAAAGGTCGGGCTGAGACCTCCCCCTCTTCCTCCCTCCACCAGTGCAAACTGTCGTGTACCCAGCCTCTAATATCTTTATATCCTTCTCCTGGATTTTCAGGTTAACATTTTACCACATTTGCATATATGTGTTGTTTTTCCAAAGCATTTGAAAGCACATTGCAGATGGCATGGTACCTCACCCAGTTCACCTGTATCTCCTAAAAGTAACACGTTCTTCCTGTAACCATAATGTTATTCTCACCTCTGTGGTAATTCATAGTAATTCTCTGATGTCCCATAACACAGTCCATGTTTCCTCGGTTATCTCAAAAATACCTGTTCTGTTTGTTCCCGTGGTTCTAGGCCATTCCATCAGCCCCTCTCCTGTGTCCTGCTGTGGCATTCTGGTCCAGGGCCAGGCTCTCAGACTGTCCCATGACTTCTAGGCTGGTCGTTTCTGAGGTGCCCAGAAGATGGCGAGGGCACTGCCAGGTGGTGCCCTGGTGAGAGTCAGTGCTGTATTCAGTGTGAATGGTTAACAGGTGTCATGGCAGGTGGTGTGCATCCTAATGGCCACACTGAAGACATCTGGTGAGACTCCTGGGATCGATACGGCTGCGGAGGGAGAAGCAGCTCCTGTCCAGTGGAGCCCCGGGTAGGGATTGGCCTCACGTCAGCACCACGGTTCACCCCGCGGGTTTGGCATTTGGGGATGCTCTGTCCCTGAACTGGTAACGTTCGTGGTTGGTAAAATGCCGGTATTTTTTCCTCAGTTCCATCAGGGAGTGTTGGTTGGCATTATTTGTGTCTCTCCCCTTTAGTCTCAGTAAGGCCTCCTATACTTTAAAAACGGTGTGTGATGGTCACGTGAGGTAGAGGGAGCCCAGTGAGGAGTGCCTGTGTCCCTCAACACGCCCCAGGCGTGTTTTGAGAGAGTCTCTGCTCTCTGTGGCCACAGTGTCCTAGGCTCAACTTTTCCTTCCCAGGGAAGCCTGGGTGGGGACTGTTTCCTGTACGGAACCATGAAGTTTAATAAGAGGAAATCAGAAGGCACTGCGTTAGCCGTTTATTCCAGGTGCATAATATTAACAGCCAGCAGTTTCACCGGCCGTGCAGACATTGGATTTCGGTGCTCTGGAAGTTCCAGAGAAAAGGTGTGGCTTGCTTCTGCTCTGAAGGTCTCCCCACCTGCAGGAGATTAGGCTAACTTTGTAAGAGCTAGAAAAGTAGAGTTTTGTGTTGAAAGAGGACATGTATAAGATAATGAAGGAATGGATAGCATGGAAGCAGACGCTGTGTAACTTTAGGATAAGTGGGACGTGGGGCGGTGCAGTGTTGGGGAGCCAGCCTGATGGAGTCACTGGGTCTCATTCTCCTTGCTCATAAACTGAGGCGTTTTGGATAAGACGAGTCCTTCAGATCCAATAGTTAGTTCTCTGCTGGCTGGTGGGACAAGTGGCTAACCCTCTAAGGCAATGGTCTCTGGTCACCTCAGTCCTCAAGTGTCCTTTTTCTCTCCTTGAACATTGCCTGTTGCAGGTGTTGCCATAGGAGGTAGCGTCCATCTCTGTACCTCTCAGGACAGGGTTGTTGCTGCCATCCGGCACAGCTCATCGAGTATACACTGTCTGGGTGTGCTCTATTGAACACTGACAGTGTAAATACCTGCTACCTACAAATTGGTTTTGAAAGTAAAGATAATTTACCCAACTGGTGTGGCTCAGTGTTGACGTGTGAACCAGGTCACAGTTTGATTCCAGACAAAGTGTATGTCCGGTTTGTGGGCTCGATACCCGGTGGGGACATGGGGGAGACGGCCAATTGGTGATTCTCTCTCATCACTGATGTTTCTCTCCCCCTCTCCCTTCCTCTATGAAATCAATCCTATCTAATAAAAGAGTAATATGCAAATTAACCATCACTCCATGACAAAATGGTGGCGCCCATAGACACAAGATGGCGGTGCCCAGTCCTCTCAGGCCCAGGGAGGGCTGCCATTGAGAGCAGGCAGCATGAGGCCCCAGCTGTTGGCCTGAGAGGCGCCTTTGCATCCCCGGCGCCATCAGCTCCCAGCTTTGACCTAAGCCGTGGCCTCGGAAGCAGCCGCACACCCCAGCTGCGATCAGCTCCCAGCCAGGACCCATGCAGTGGCCTGGGAGGTGGCCGCACACCCCAGGTGTGATCAGCTCCCAGCCAGGACCCGGGCAGTGGCCTGGGAGACAGTGAACCCACTCACCGCCACCCCCACCCCCATCCCCATTAGATCAGCCGTGAACCCCTGGCGTGATCAGCACCCAGCTGCAATAGGCCTGGAAGATGGCTGCGCCCTTCCCCCAATCCTTCCCTGTCTCCTACCCCCTACACCCCTATGTGCAATCTGCTTCTAGCCTCCACCTGGGCTATGGGCCTGGGAGGTGCCTGCAACCGCCTATCACCACCCTCCCCACCTCCCATGATTAGCTCCCATCCACAGCTGGGGAGTGCAGGCTTGGGAGGCAGCTGAGCCCCCACGAGCTCTCCCTTCCCTGGGGTGTCAGCCTCCAAAGGGCCTGCGCCCCCATGGAGCGATCCCCCCACACACACATATAGCCTTGGAATTTCCCTTGCTCCAGCAGAGTGATTAGAGACAGAAAAGGAATAAAAGGAGAAAAGAAAGGACAAAAGGTTAACATCAAGAAAAGGAAAGAGAAGGGAAAAAGGAAACAACCACGACACCACTTTTCCAAGTTCTCATGAAATTCCTGTTTGAGTTTATTTTATGACATTTTTAGTTTGGGTTTACATTTTTACTGGTTTGTCAAGACCATGGCAGGTACACTGTCCAATATGTCAAAAGACAAAACCCTATCTAATAAAGAGGAAGTATGCAGGGGAGGGCATTTGGGGGTGACCAGGCTGTTAGGGGAGGGCAATTGGAGACTATTGGGCCAGCAGGGGAACAGTTAGGCATCAATCAGGCTGGCAAGGGAGTGGTTAGGGGGTTATTAGGCTGGCAGGCAGAAGCAGTTAGGGGCAATCAGGCAGGCAGGTGAGCAGTTGGGAGCCAGCAATCCCTGGATTGTGAGAGGGATGTCCGACTGCCTGTTTAGGCAGTCGAACATTCCCTGAGGGGCCCCAGATTGGAGAGGGTGCAGGTTGGGCTGAGGGACACCCTTACCCCACCACCACCCCAGCGCACGAATTTTGTGCACCGGGCCTCTAGTAAAAAAATATTTTTTTAAAAAGTAAGGGTCATTTTTTAGAAGCTAGTGAATGTTGACATTACTTGCATCTCTTCTTAAGTGGGCCTCCGTTGGGTTGGCTTCAGTCCTTGGGTTGGCTTCAAGTGTCTTCACTTATTACAGAACTTCATGGTCCCTGTTGTGTGCTGGGTCCAGTCCACAGTGCAGGGCTTGACAGGCAGAGGAGGGCGATGTTCTCCTGGTGCTGGAGCTCATGGTAGAGACTGAGCAACATCAGTAAGTAAAACAGGAGTGTCTTTGTACAGACAAGGTGAATGCTAACTAATGAGAGGTGTTGAGGAGGAAAAGGGAGGATTGGTGAATACTGCAGAGCCCTGGAATCACACTTGGGGAGGTTTGTCCTTGTGTGTCCACAGCAGCTTCATGTACAGCAGCAAGAGGCTGGATGGCCCCGGTGCCCGCCAACACATGAGGAGGTGCCACAGGTGGTGATCTGTGCAGTGGGCAATCACCAGAAGGTGGTCAAAGTTTTTGACACATCAAATGAATCTCAGAAAGAACCTAGACATCCACTGTAAAGTCTCTTCTATAAAATAGTAGAAAATGCACACTAATCTCTGTCTACAGGCAAAGATGGTTGGGATGGGAGTTAGAGCAAAGGGTTAATGGGAGGGGTCACAAGTACTTTGGGGGAATTATGTAACAGCTAAGCCTTCCCTTCTGCCTTTAATTTTCATGTAATTCTCTTTAATCAAGATAATAGATGACTTAGGGCCAGAAATATATGTTAACTGTTCTGCAGAGGGGATATTGCAAGGATGGAAAGTCTTGACGTCCTTGAAGGAGGTGACAGGCACCTTTAAAGAGAAGAGGTCCTCGCTGTGTTGCACTAGCTGCAGTCCGTGGACCACACTGCGTTTGTGGTCCACGCTCTTTCCCGCCTATTTCTTGGTGGTTGCACACTTTTCATCTCTATAAGCCCAGTGCCAACATGCTATTTGGACCCAAAAAAGTCTGAATGACAGAAAATTTGCTTATTTTCCTGTCTGACTGAGTCGGCCCCTTCCAAAGACATTACAGGAGAGCAGAGTGGCTCAAGCACTGACCTTAGTGAACGGCAGTGAACAGGAAACTGCGACGTGTGCCATCCAGTAAATATGTGAATCCCTTCTTTCCTTTTTACAGATTATTGCAAAACTGTAATGATGACAGTTTGAATGTTGCGCTTCCAATGAGAATGCTTGAGGTGTTTTCATCCGAGAAGACTTACTCACCTGTTTTACGAGATGCTAGCTATGTGGTGTCCGTAATTGAGCAAGTTTTGCACTACATGATTCAGAATGGTAAGTGCTGGTGAGTGATAGGCTCAGCTGACTGTCCTGGAGTGTGGGGAGCACCCTTGCTTTGAACACCGCCTGGGACATGGCCCAGAGCAGCATGCACAGTTTAGGGAGCATGTGCTTGTGGTCGCACATCCCAACATCTGCCCTTGTCTCCACCCAACCTAGCATTTGGAAATGTATTCATTCTCTTCCCTTGCGTTTTCCCATCGCTTGTAAATGAAACGAGTTAATGTACTTCTGCTGCCAGCTGTCCTCCTGGGCATGCTGGTCACAGCCTGTCTGCGGTGCAGTGGCCAGCCCTACTGTGGCCATGCAGCACTGGGACGGGCAGGTCTGCCAGTGGGACCTGTCCCACTGAGCCGCGGTTTTGAGGCACTGCCTTAGTTCACAGAGGAGAGGAAGACACGTGGTGTCTGGTTTTCTTCCCAGCCTGCTGGGACAGCTTTGTGCACTGACACTCTGAAGAGGATGGCACTGGGACACATCAGTGACATCGTCTGGAGAAAGACTATCAAATGCATATGATTTTACAAGTTTTATGATGAATTAAACAGTATTAGTAAAACAATTTAAAAATCTGATGCCCAGTGTTTTCACAGGTGGAAAGTCATACTTCAGGACTTGGACTCAGAGTGTTAGTTAGCATTAGAAATATGCACTTAAGTTCTGGAAAGCAGTCCTTGCTGATAATGCATAAGTAAGATTGCTTTTGTTTTCTTAAAGTGATGGACTAATCTAGATTAAATCTAGCTAATTTAATCCTCATGTTAAAACTGTGAAAATTAATTTAAAATCTTATATACCTCAACCTTACTGTTTGGCTTAGGTGCATTTTTTTTTTTTTTTTTTAAAGAAAACCTTCTTAGTTTGCTATAAGATTAGGGAATTGGTTAAAAAGTAAATTAAAATTGATGGAATTTGATCTTTTAAAAAACAAGTTAGTGGTAATCAGAAATGGTCCATTGTTTTTATGGGTGTATCAAGTATATTGATTAAAGGCTAAGCATTCAATTAGAATTTTTACTTGTTTTCTAAAAGTATAATGAAAACTAAAATACACATTAGTTTGAAATGTGTCTAAAAATGGGAAATGCTTCAAAATGGTGCACTGAAGCTGCTGCTTCTAGCATCTTTGAGCCGTAGCCTTTCTGCAGCTGTTTTGGTAAATTCCTTCCTGATAGTCTATGAAACTTTAGCAGTCTGTTATAGTTCATATTGTTACCACGCCTGTGTGCTGTGACTGCACATGATGCTTTTTAATTGCCACAGTAGAACCTGACACTGGTCGCACTCCAGGGAATCTGCTGTGTTCACGTGCATGTCATGTCGTGACGTTCACAAATGTGACCTGACATATATATGTATTTAATTGTTACTGTATTTATATCTTCTTAGTTTTATAGCAAAAGATCTTTCAAAGCTCCCTTGTCGTGTTTCACTGGTCACCACTGTCTGTGAGGGTAGTTAACTGGGAGTCTGACAACAGAGCACTTGAGTGGTCATTGCTTGGTGTTCATGACTTGAGTACACATCTGGGTCTGACTGTTTTCAGAGGCAAAGCAAGCAGTGGCTGTTTCCCATGGCACCACCAAGTGTGTCTGTGCAGTTCACAGACTGCACCCCACGAGTGCATAGGAAAGAGCACCTATTTCTAAAAGACAAGATGATTTGAGTGATACTTCCAGAAATCCCACAAAGGCTTAGAGAGGTTGTGAAAGTTGTTGCTTCTATTCACATGGAGTTACCTTTTAAACAGATTCCTCAGTGCCCATTTTGTAATCCATAAAGAAACAATTTTTTCCCAAAGGAATGTAAATCCCTGGAGAAAAGGCTGATTCCAGATCTCATTGAGGAAATAATATCAGAAAACTTCCCCCACCTGGTAAAAGAAATAGACTTAAAAGTACAGGAAGCGTAAGAATCCAAACAAGAGGAATCCAAAGGACCACACCAAGACACATCATAATTAAAATGCCAAGGACAAAAGACAAAAAGAGGATCTTAAAAGCAGCAAGAGAAAAGCAGTTGGTTACCTATAAGGGAGCATCCATAGACTATAAGCAGATTTCTCAACAGAAACTATGTAGGCCAGAAGGGAGTGGCAAAAAATATTCAGTGATGAACCTACAACCAAGATTACTGTATCCAGCAAAGTTATCATTCAGAATTGAAGGGCAGATAAAGAGCTTCACAGATAAGAAAAAGTTAAAGGAGTCCATCACCACCAAACCAGTATTATATGAAATGCTGAAAGGTATTATTTAAGAAGAGGAAGAAGATCAAGTGAATTAAAAATCTGAGGAACAGAATAAACTGGTGAATATAATAGAATCAGGGGCAAAGAAAGGGAGTGGATTGATAATTATCAGGGGGAAAGGGGTGTGGGGGCGCAGAAAGAGACTGAATTAAAAGCGAACACCTATGGATGAGGACAATGGCGGGGGAGGGGGGACAGGGAGGAAAGGACAGAGGGTGGGGTGGGAACTGGGTGGAAGGGAGCTATGAGGGGGAAAAGGAGAAACAATTATAATCTGAGCAATAAAGATTTATTTAATAAATAAATAGATAGGGGAAAAAATCAGAATAGGAAAAAAAAATCCAAAAAATATAAAGATGGTGTAAGGAGCCTCTGGGACAACTTCAAGTGCCTTATAGGAGTGCCTGAAGGAGAAGAGGGAGAGCAATATATTGAAAACCTATTTGAAAAAAATAATGACATAAAACTTCCCCCACCTGGTGAAAGAAATAGACTTACAAGTCCAGGAAGCACACAGAACACCAAACAAAAGGAATCCAGAAAGGCCCACACCAAGACACGTCATAATTAAAATGCCAAGGGTTGCCAAAACCGTTTTGGCTCAATGGATAGTCGGCCCATGGACTGAAAGGTCCCGGGTTCGATTCCGGTCAAGGGCATATACCTTGGTTGCGGGCACATCCCCAGTGGGGGGTATGCAGGAGGCAGCTGATGGATGTTTCTCTCTCATTGATGTTTCTAACTCTCTATCCCTCTCTCTTCCTCTCTGTGAAAAATCAATAAAATATATTTTAAAAAAATGCTAAGGGTTGCCCAACTGGTTTGGCTCAGTGGATAATAGAGCACCAGCCTGCAGACTGAAGGGTCCCAGGTTTGATTCCAGTCAAGGGCATGTACCTTGGTTATGGGCATATCCCTAGTGGGGGGGGAGTGGTGCAGGAGGCAGCTAATTGATGTTCTCCCTTCCCCTCTGTAAACAAAGCAATAAAATATATATATATTTTAAATAAAAATAAAATGCCAAAGGCTAAAGACAAAGAGAGAATCTTAAAAGCAGCAAGAGAACAGCAGTTAATTATCTACAAGGAAGTACCATACGACTATCAGCTGATTTCTCAACAGAAACTGCAGGCCAGAAGGGAGTAGCAAGAAATATTCAAAGTGATGAAAAGCAGGGACTTACAACTAAGTTTACTCAGCAAAGCTGTCATATAAATTGAAAGTCAGATAAAGAGCTTCACTAACAAGAGAAAGCTAAACTAGTCATTACCATCAAACCAATATTACATGAAATATTGAAGGATATTTTGGAGAAGGAGAAGGAAAAGAAAGAAGAATATATTATATACAGAGAAGCAGAATAGAAACAGACTCGGAAACAGTGGACATTTTGACAGTGGCCAAATTGAAGGGTTGGAGAGGTGGGTGAAGGGAGGTGAAGGGATTTGGAAGTACAAATTGGTCATAGCCCATGGACACCGACAGTGGGGTAGAAGATGGGTAAAGGGTAAAGTGGGACATCTTTAAGACTCAATAAAATAAATATATATATTTTAAAAACCACAAAAATAATTACTTGGAGGATGCGTAAGAAACAAGTTTTTTAAATCTCAGAATATGGGTCTTATTTGGATCCTGATTCAAGCAAACTAGTTAAATAAAATTTATGAATATTGGCTAGGTATTTATGATATTAAGGAATTCCTGTTAATTTATTTTAGCTGTGATGATGGTATTTTTAAGAAAAATAAAGTCCTCATCTTTGGCAGCACATGAACTTTTGCTTCTGGAAGGTGAAGGCTAGGTGATGGCTGGTTGACCATCATTGACGCTGGACAATCAACAACGCATGGAGATTATATCCTTTCAGGGATTTGCGTACTTGTTTATAACGTTTCCTGTAATAAAATGTTGAAGAATTCACTAAAATTTGGACTAATAAGAGTTTTATAAAAAACATTTAAAAACTGACATGTTATTTTCCTCATATAGGAATAGGTACCACGTTTTAAATATGTGTTCTTTTTTTTTTTTTTTAGGGTATTATAGATCTCTCTATTTGTTAATTAACAGCAAGCTTCCATCAAGTATTGAGTATTCTGATTTATCTCGAGTTCCTATAGCAAAAGTTTTGTTAGAGAATGTCCTAAAACCGTTGCACTTTACTTACAACTCCTGCCCAGAGGGCGCCAGGTAAGAACGGGATCGTTTTTATTTCGTGATTTCACAAGGTCTGTGTCTAACAGTAACTTGGACACAGGGTGCTATCTTCAATAACAGACTTGAAGGTCAGATTTTTACTTTACTAATGTGACTCCATTGAAAGAACAATGTGCTGCTTTTGTGTGGCCTGGACCCTAATATGAATTGACCATTCTGAAGACCTGGTTATGTTCCCGCTTTCTGGAAGCTGCCAGAGATGCAAAGTTGTGACAGCGTTTCCTGAGCAGGGAGACACAGCGTGGAGTCCCCCGGTGGTCCGGTTGACCTAGAATGCTTAGCTGTGAGGAATGTGGCAGGCTGGTTTGGCATTCAGCTTCGGTTAGTGTAACCCTGGGTTTTAGGAGCGGTGTGCTGCGATTTTATTAAAACGGGCATTTTCCCTTTGTAGGCAGCAAGTGTTCTCGGCCTTCACGGAGGAGTGTTTGGCAGCCCCTTTCACAGACCAGATCTTTCACTTCATCATTCCCGCGCTGGCGGACACCCAGGCCGCCTTCCCCTTCGAGCCCTTCCTGGACGCACTGCTGGCGGCGGAGAGTGGTGGCGCCAGGGCTCACGGGCACGCACCCTGGCTCTTCTACTTTGTCTTGACCGTCGGTGAAAATTACCTGGGTATGAAGCGCGGCCCCGTTTACCCGTGCGCTCCAGGGTCAGTACCGGAGGGTGGGCCCGAAGAGGGCGGCTCAAGGCACGGCACAGGATGCCCTGGACAGTGCCCGGCGGAAGTGCCGGCACAGCGCTCACAGCAGGTTCCACGCTCAGGATCGTTACCACGCTCAGGATCCATGGTTACCAGGATCGTTGGTGTCACGTGGGGAAGCTCCCCATGTGCTAAACTTGTAATGTTCTGGATTATAGCATCTTCCTCTAATGCGTTTTAATACCAGCATCTGCACGTGGATGTTAGTATTTCAGCAGGTTCTGGTTAGCCACGCCTCTCTGAGCGAAAGAAAGGTGATTGATAGCTGTTTCCTGGTGTGGTTCGGACCAGCCCTAATTCGCTGTTCTCCCTGTCTGTCTCACAAAGGGGCCCTCTCTGAGGAGGGCCTGCTGGGGTACCTGCGAGTGCTGCAAGCCTTCCTTGCGCAGCTACCCGTCGCACCTGCCAGTGCCAGCTGCCAGGACTCTGGCAGCGACTCTGAAGAGGAGGGTGCGGAGGGCGAGCGGCGGAGGAGTACGCCGGTGAGCATTGGGGCTGCGGGCTGTAAAGTCGTCTTTCACTCGCCCATCTGCTCTTAGGGTAGAAGTAGTCCCTGAGGGGCTGTGTGTGAAGCCTAGACAGAAAAAGCTGTAAAGCCTACGAGCACAGAGCCCTGCCCGCCATGAGGCCTGTTTTTAGAAGACAGTTTTTAATACTTAATGACCTTCTGGAGAATCCATGAAGCTCTCATCATTTTATTTACTTTGTGTCCCCAAGAGGAAGAGGAACAGGCTGTGTTGGTGCGGAGCCCTTCCTCACTGCGCACAAAGCAGCAGGCTTGCAGCTCGTCCGACACGGCTGACACGCACAAGCTCAGTGTGCGGAGTGACACATCTGTGGGAATGTGCTTGAAGAACGCGCACACAGAACAGTAGCACTGACAACATTCTTGTTCTAGCATGTTTATTAGGTGCATCTTACTCAAAGAGTCAGGTAGAATGTATTACTTTTATCTCTAAAATAGTGTTTTAGGTAGGTTATTATAAATTACTAGTATATCCATCTACGCTTCCTAACAGTACAGTTAATGTTGCCTGATCTTTTATATATACAGGGTGTCATGTCCGAAAAAAATGCATGTACAGTTTGAATTATTCATTCCAGTGGGTTAAATATGAAAATAAAGAAACATCAATTGAGCTTTTAGCTGTTACAATATGTGTCTATTTTTGAGGTCACCCCTTATACGCTTACTCTTATATAGGTTTATATATATACATGTATATGAAGTATGTGTTACATCTTTGGTTAATATCCCAATTTTTGGTAACTATGCAGAGCATTAGCATCAGTGAACCAGATATTCTAGAGAAATCAAGATATAAAAGAATAGATTTATGTATTTTATTTCATTATATTAAATAAATAGAAATTCTATCAATATATTTTTACAGATATGTGCTTAGTACAATGCAATCTAAACATATTAAATGAATTCTTTTTCTATTTTTTTAAAATTGATTTTCAGAGATAGGAAGGGAAAGGGATAGATAGAAACATCAGTGATGAGAGAATAATCAGTTGGCTGCCTCCTGCACACCCCTTACTGGAGATCAAGTTTGAAATCTAGTCCCTGACCAGGAATTGAACCAGAATCTCCAGGTTCATAGGTCGATGCTCAACTACTGTGCCACACCAGCCAAGCGAATGAATTTCTCTTTAAATATAATACTGAAAATACTATCACATCAGTAGGCAAAACTAGATAGTCACAGTTCCTGTGCTGCTGTTGTGCTGGTCAAAATTGGTCCCTAATACAGATGTCACTATGGGCATTCAGATTCCTTTAAAGGATGCATGACAGAGATCTTGGTGTGTTCATTGTGATTAGGTAATTTTTGATAAAGCCTGCCTTGTACTTTGACTTGAATGTAAGCGATATTTCCTCTGTTTCTGTCATGTAGAGATGAGTTCTCATGGTGCATCACTAACGTGGAGTAACTTCCGGGTGTGTTTCAGGTGGACGGGAGACTCTCATTACCATACATAACAGAGGAATGTCTGAAAAAGCTGGATACGAAGCAGCAGACCAACACGCTGCTCAACCTGGTGTGGAGGGACTCGGCCAGCGAGGAGGCCTTCACGCTGATGGCCTGCATCTGCCACACGCTCATGGTGCAGCAGCGGATGATGGTGCCCCGAGTCAGGCACGTGTGTGTGGTGCAGCCCCGTCCTGTCTGCTCGGCCTCAGCGGGCGACCCTTCACTGTTTCCCTGTAGAATGTGGCCCAGGGCATTCTGCTGTCTGAGCACTGCAGAATGGACGCCGGTTTTCCTTTCTAAACCAGTTAGGGCTGTTTGAGTCCTTTTCTTGTCCTGTGAGGCTCTGAGGTGTCCTGGAATATGTTAACAGGTGAAATCGGTCATTTTTCTTTCTTGGGAAAGGGAAGTATGGTCCTAGCCATCCATTTTAATATGTGGCTGTGTTGTTGTTGTTTTTTGTTTGTTTGTTTGTTTTTTTAATATATTTTATTGATTTTTTACAGAGAGTCAGGGAGAGAGATAGAGAGCTAGAAACGTCGATGAGAGAGAAACATCGACCAGCTGCCTCTTGCACACCCCCTACCGGGGATGTGCCTGCAACCAATGTACATGCCCTTGACCGGAATCGAACCTGGGACCTTTCAGTCCGCAGACCGACGCTCTACCACTGAGCCAAACCGGCTTCGGCTGTTTGTTTTTTTGTTTTTTGTTTTTATTGGTTCTAAAGAGAAGGGAAGGGAAGGGAGAGAGAAACATCTATGAGAGAGACATCACTTCAGTTGGCTGCCTCCTACACACACTGCTGGGACGGAGTCCGCAACCCAGGCCTGTGCCCTGCCTAGAAATAGAACCAGTGACCTCTTGGTGCAGGGGACGCCACTCACCACTGAGCAATGGGAGACTGTCATTTCCACCCAGAACAGAGGAGCGTCTGAAAACACTGGGAGCCTAACTCATTTTAAAGTTGGGCTCCTGCCTGCACTTATAGACCCTATATATGACATCTTTTTTGGCTTCTTCATCTATTTACTTTTTTTTTTTTATCAGTTTATTCTGGCACTGGACAGTTTACTCTGAGATTTTGGTTTTCAAAACTTTGAAATACAACTTTTGAGAAGAACAAAACATACAAGTTAAAGTAGCTATCTTGTGCTAAGATCATGGTGACAATAGTCTTGAACTATTTCCCCCTCTATTTTAAGGGATATTTTAGCAGTTTCTTTCTTAAATAATTTAGAAAATTATTTAATGAAATAAAGTGCAAACATTTGTGCAGATCTAGGAAGTGAGGGACAGGCTCCATGTGGCCTGTGGAGGACTGCACTGCCTGGGTCCTGGGCTGGGGTCAGGTGATGCATGTCACCTTTGTAAGTGCTCGCCTGCTGTGGCAAGAGCTGCTGTGGTGGCGGCGAAAGTGTTCAGAGCGGAGTGTGCAGGGACATTGGCTGCAGAAGTTGCCATGTAACACTGATGCGGCCAGCTAATTAGGTGCTGTGCTGTCTTTGCTGGCTGGCATTGGTTACTGCAGACGGAGTCTGAAGCCACGGCGGCTGTGGTCCACGATTAGGTGATTAGCTCCCGGTGTTAGAGCTGGCTGTGAGATCTGAGGGCAGGTGCTGCGCCACACTTGCTTTTATTGTGGTGCAAAGTCCAGGGATGACTAGCTCTGGGTCCAGAGTGAACCTCCGCCCAGTGGGCTGATGTGGGGCCCTGGTTTATAAGTACAACACCTGTTTCCTCCAAGAAACTGCTCCAGGAACCTATGGGTGGCCTAACTAGATTAGGCTGTAAGTATTTAGAAGGTTTTCATAGCTCATGAAAGAGCAAAATAGGCTTACTTTAATGGCTGTAGATTTTAACTACTTTCAACGCTTTTTAAAAATCTTCAGCCAAGGATATGTTTATTGGTTTTAGAGAGAGGAGGTAGGGGGGAGAAAAAGAGGGGGGGGGATGACATTGACCAGTTGCTTCTTATATGAACCCCAACCAGGGACCAAACCTGCAACCTAGGTGTGTGCCCTGACTGTGAACGAACCTGAGACTTCTTGGTTTTTGGGATGACACTCCAACCAACTGAGCCACACTGGCCAGGGTCAACTCTTTTAAAGCGTGTTTAGCCTGGCCAGCGTGGCTCAGTGGTTGAGCATCACCCTGTGAACCAGGAGGCCCCAGGTTCAATTCCCAGTCAGGGCCCATGCCTGGGTTGTGGGCTTGATCCCCAATGGGGTGTGCAGAAGGCAGTCGATCAATGATTCTCATCATTGATGTTTCTATCTCTCTACCCCTCTCCCTTCCTCTCTAAAAACTCAAAAATATATTTTTTAAAGTGTTTAAAGTAGGATTAGTAGATTCCCAGGCTGATAACTCTCTCTCAAGTGCTCTCAGGCTCGCTCCCATCCCTCCGTTTCTAGGATTGGGATTTGCAGTTTTAATCTGTTTCACATTTTTGTTAGGCTATTTGAAGACATGGAACAGCCTGGGCCAGTGTACTCAGTGTTTGGAGTGTGCATTGAAAAGTTTTGTGCTCAAGCCCCTGCCATGGTTGGGTGTATGCAGGAGGCAACCAGTCAATGTGTCTCTCACGTCAATATCTATCTCTCTCTCTCCCTCTCTCTCTCTCCCTCTCTCTCTCTCCTCTCTGTCTGCCTCCCTCCCTCCCTCTCCTTCCCTCCCTCCTTCCCTCCCTTCCTCCCTCTTCTCCCTTCCACTGTCTTATAGAAAAAAAAAAAAAAAAACTAAATAAATAAATAAACCAGTGGCTCTTGCTGATTTGACCCAGTGGTTAGAGTGTTGGCCCTTGGACTCAAGGGTCTCAGTTTCGATTCCATTCAAGGACACGTACCTCGGTTGCAGGCTTAATCCTGGGCCTTGGTCAGGGCACATATGGGAGGCAGCCAGTCGATGTGGTTCTCTCTCATCAGTTTCCCGCCCCCTTCCTTCCATGCTCTAATAATCAGTGGGAAAAGTATCCTCAGGTTAGGATTAGGAAATTTAAGAATATGTTTATCTATATGGAACAATTTCCAAGATACGTGTCCAAGTAAAAGAAAGGGAGAGCCAGACCTTGGGGACAGTAGCCTACTTTCTGGTCAGAAGGGGGAAAGGGAGACTGTCTGTCCCTATTCACACTGCTCTGTCTTCCTTTTCTCACCTGAACACCTCACTTGTAGAGATGCCCCATAAGCTGCCAATAGAGCCAGCACCCAGCCATTCTTCCGTGATCCCACACTACACGACGTTGGTCCTCCTGCCCTCCCTCTCCTGACCCCTCGCACATGCCCTCCATAGCCCCCATTCTCATGCGTTCTCCTCGACCCTTGGCAGCTCCTCCGCAAGCCTCTGTCTGTGTGTCAGTGTTTCCTTCTCTGAGTGACTCTCACCCGTGGCTTCCACCCCCTTGGGGCTGAGGAGGAGTCTCCTCTCAGCTGCTACTTGGCTGTCCTCAGACCCTGCACATCCAGGACTGGTATAGGGAGCTCCTGGGAACATGGCCACTGCGCTTTAGTTAAAATGGGAGCACAAGCCCACTTCCTTGGTCACTCTCGCCATATTCCACATGCCCAGTAGTCAGTGTGGCTTCGGCATTGTCATCGGCACCTAATGTCCTGCTGGAGTGAGGCATCCTTCCTGAGCGACTCCATGACACACGTGCAGGCACCATGACACATGAATACTCACTGTCTTTGTCATGTTTGCCTGACTGACAGACATGTGGAGAGCTTTCCTGACTGGCATTTGGGAACTCTCTAACTTCATTTCTAGCCACAGAATGCTTTGCCGTGGCCATGCGTCCTTACTGCACCCTCCTGATCCCAGGTGCTGCTCCGCCTCTCTCCTTGCTCCCACGCTGGTCTATCAGATGCACCTTCCTTCTCCTGTCTCACCTTTCTTGACCGAGTTGCCTAGATTCATGCTCAGGTCACCGCCTCTCAAAAGCCTTCCAGTTTATAGACTGAGATTTCTCCTCTCCTATTCCAATGAAATTGTCATTGTATGGTAGAAACTCCCTTTTAGAGGGCAGATTTTTTTTCCTTTTTTAAAAAAAATTAAATATTATCTGTGTACATATTTTAACATTGGTCTCCCCCCCTCCTATACATACCCCTCCCCAGAGTTTTGTATCCATTGGTTGTACTTATGTGCATGTATACAAGTCCTTTGGTTGATCTATTATCTCCCCCAGATCTCCCTTCTCTCCCCGCTGTAATTTGACAGTCTGCTTGTTGCTTTATTGTCTCTATATCTATCTTTTGGTTCATCAGTTTATAATGTTCTTTATTATCCATAAATGAGTGAGGTCATGTGGTGTTTTAGAGGGCAGATTTTAAGAAGTTAAGCTTTACACTTAAGGTGGGCAGATGGGCATTTTCTTTGGGAGTTGGCTCTTTTGTTCCATTGTCAAAACTTAGACTTTTAAAGGTAGTGTTTTAGGGATAAGAGTGGTTGATATAATTTGCCTATAATTTTCTTGTAAATACATCACATCTTAAGGCATCACACATCACTTTATTGCAACATGTGCTTGATTTTTCTATTAAAAATGAATAGAATGAGCCAAATTACTTGTGAGCCGTCAGTCACTGCAATGTAGACAGTGTATGTCCTGGAGCTGCGTGCGACTCTGCCGCTGTCTCAGCGCCAGGAAGAACCGTGGTAACAGGCTCTGTGCTCTCGGGGTGGCAGCCATAGCTCCAGTCCTTGGGGACAGAATGATTATGCAGTCACTTCAGTGAAGGCAAATACAGAGCTATGTTTTCCTGTTTAGGTTTCTGTAAACACATCTTTATAGTATTTTAGAAGAAATACTGAGGCGGTACCTAGAGAAAGTGTCTTTTTTGCCTGTGATTTTATTTTTTATTTTATTATCAGTGATATTCTCAGTATAATCAGTAGATTTAATTGACTTTTTTTTTTTCTTAAATAAATTTTTATTGTTCATATTATTACAAATGTTCCTTCCCCCCCCTTCCCACCCCACCCTCTGCCCTTTCCCCACCCCCCATTGTCCTCAACCATAGGTGCACAGTTTATGTTCAGTCTCTTCCCATATCCCCCTTTCCCCTTTTCCCTAAGAATCATCAGTTCACTCCCCTTCCATACCTCTGATTCTATTATATTCAACAGTTAATATTGTTCCTCAGATTTTTTTTTAAATTTCCTTGGTT